GGCATTCCCCCGGAGGAGCTGGAGGAAGTGTCTGGAGAGAGGGAAGTCTGGCGATCTTTGCTTAGACTGCTGCCCCCGTGACCCGGTCCCGGATAAGCGGAGGAAAATGGATGGATGGATGGAGGATGACTTCACTTTATATATTTTCAGGGCCATGTGTTGCTGGGGTGGTAGGTCTGACTATGCCTCGGTACTGCCTTTTTGGAGATACTGTCAACACTGCCTCTCGTATGGAATCCACCGGGCTGCGTGAGTATCTCGTACACACCTCCCACAGCGTTTTGTTGCATCGTTTCATGTATGGTTTAGGTTTAGTCTTGTCTTCTCTTCTCTTCTTCCCTCAGCTTATAGAATCCATGTGAATATGAGCACCGTGAAGATTCTCCATTCTCTAAATGAGGGTTATAAAATAGAACTCAGAGGCAAGACGGAGCTGAAGGTAACATTATTTGTGTGTTTGGCGGTAGTGGCAAATGTTGTAGAGGATACACCTGCCAATCCATTTATTTATTTATTTGTTCATTTTTCAGGGTAAAGGTATAGAAGAAACATACTGGCTTGTGGGGAAAGAAAATTTTACAAAGCTTTTGCCAAAACCACCAGAGATCAAACCAGGGTAAGAGATCAATGTCACGCTTCATTCACTTATAACTTAAAGATGTATGTACAAATTTCTCAAAATAATATGTAATTGGACTTTCAAATAGAGTAAGGAACACAATTACCTTTAAAACCCAACTCTCATCTGGTCTAAAATTTCATTAATGCCATCACTGCCCTGTGAAAACAGTGACTAACCCCATGTTACTTTAGGGAAAACAATCATGGGCTGAACCCAGAAGATGTAGCTGCATACAGGAGAATGAAAGCTGAGAAAAAGGCTAGACCTTCTTAGTCCAAACACACGAGGTAGAGACCTGCATGCCAGCTGGTGTTGTGTGGTAGAAATGTTACTGTGGCTGTCAGCTTGATGTGACCAAATACAACTGTTGAGCTTGCACACACACACGTGGTTTAGTCTCATTGTTTGTTTTGTGATTTATTATATATTTATTGATCTTATAACCGTCTACATCATCTTATGCAGACTGAAGAAAGCCCCTCTGTTCTTTATTTTAGTATACTGGAAAAACACATTTTTATATTTAAAACTAATTTATTTTACAAAATTTGCAGTGCTTTGTTTTTCTGTCTCTGTGTCTGTGTTATGCTTTTACGGTGTTTTCGTGTCCTTGATTCCCAGAGCTTTGCTTAAAAGCAGATGTTTCTGTAATACACAACAATGGTCTTAACTCTACCCTCTGTCTTAACTAGCGATAACTGGCAGGAGATGGTGACAGAGGAAATCAAGAATTGTTTTTGCAAGGCCAACAGACAAGTGAACAGAAAGATCTGAGTGAGAAAAAGTGAAGGACAGAAGTAAAAAAAAGCAAAAGCAGATGAGAAGAAGAGTGGAGGACATGTCTGGAGCAAGACAGAGATCTGGGAGGGGCAGGAAGAGGACAGAAAGCACCATCGAGCCACTCGCTGTGGCTTAATGCAGACTTGTTTAAGAGGATTGTTTGCCTGCTAATCTGCCTCCAGCCAGCACAGCAGAACACGGCGCTGCTCATGTAATGAAAGTTGTCGTGCTACCTACCCATATACCTGCTGTCAGAAGGAAGGTGCACCACTCCTTCATGAGATGTACTCATTCTTTCCTTTCTGCACTCACTGGCCACTGAGTGGTCACCTATAGTTCAAGAGCAACCAGAGGTTTACCCACTCGAAGATCGAATACCCCAAATGCCTATTTTAAAATGAAATGGTTTTTTTTCTGTTGATGGTATCTGTTTTTAGTTTGTTATGAACGCTTATATTAGAATTGTGGAGGCGAGGGTGTTACTTAGCTATTGCTAAATATTATATGTTGACAGCCTTCCAAAGTTGGAGGCAAAGGCTGCTATTGTATATAATTATCAAAACAAACAAAGAGGTTTGTGTCTTTTATTTCTGCTGTATTAGCATCAGTCAGTTCACCAGCCCATTCAGAAAACTGTATTGATCTGTAACCCTTTTTATTAGTTTGTACTAATGAAAGGGTGACTGTGGAAAGTAATGACAATGCAACAAAAATTGTGAAAATAGTTTTCTTTTTCTTTTTTATCATTAGTAGCAGAACTTTAATTAAACCTGTCACTGTTTCCAAAGTGCTCAGTGATGCATTTATTCATCTGACACATATCGTTGTAATGTTTGATGTCAGTAAGTCTGGTTAAAGTAAATTGAAAGTAATTTGTCCATCACTCTATTTAATGTGCCAGTGCACACATACTGCACTGATGCTCACTCAGAAATTTTATTCACAACACTAACCAAAATTTCTTGATTATGAATTTTATTTTGTAATGTAAAAGAAACGTTTGCCCACAGATTCATAAAAGTTTATTTCAGAGTTCAAGAGAACAATATGTGTGTATAATGTCACATCAGGGGGTGTTACAGCTGTTTTCCTCAGCAGTTGATGTTGCACAGTATTACAGTTCTGCTATGGTGCATTTAAAAACTTCTGCATTCCCAGAAATAAAGCCACAGTTTTCAACATAGAAGTATGACGTGTGTTTGAGCTGTGAACTGGCTGAACTGCACCATCTGGAGATCAAATTAAGATTTTTGCTGAAGAGCATTGAACATTTTTTTACTAAATGAATATGCCTCACAGTAGTTTATTAATATGGCATGTACAGTAGGTGTATGTGAATAAGGGCACTACCTAAGAACACACATTAAATATAACACGAGAAACAATAAGCAATAATAAAATTGCAATTTTATTTGTGAATGTTTTGACTATAAACCCAAACATGAAGTCGTGTTTCAACCAAACCTCCACCAATAATAGTTTTTTTTTTACATAACACTCGACATAATCCACTGCACCTAATCATATTATTGTTGCCTATAGAAGCAGCTTGATTCATGGTTGTACAAAATAACAGCTGGGTCAATCAGAACCAGATATATTGTTTAACTTATATGTTGTTTGTCTTGTGCATTGGTACTGCAATGCACAAGTGGTACAACTTGTCTTGTGTATTGGTACTGCAATGCACAAGTGGTACATAAATATGACATCATAAGATAATTAAACTATTGATTAGTAACATCTATAATATTTGTAACATCACATCCGTACTCTTTATAACCACAAGGTGGTGCTACGGCTCCTCTTTTATTCACAGTTTTATTTGTGCAAGCTTTGACATATTGTTGAATTTTTCAAAACACATAAAAACCAAAGTTTTGAGATGATGCTTTAACCGTGTAAACAATGGTATAAAGTAATGTTTTTGATTTGTCAACCTACTGTTGAGTCACACCATCATCTTTGTACAGTATTTGCTGTGCTGAAACTACAGGAAACTACATTTCCCACTCACCACGAGAACCCTGCATTCCAGATTTTGGACTGCACAAGTCTTTGTTTCTTCTGTGTGGGGCGTCCCAATAGAGACTATACTGACTTTATTATTCAGGCTAGTAGAGACTAGAGAGAAATGAAGGACAAAATCCTTTGAATAGTTATCTATGGCAATGCAGTAAAAGCCGTCATTGTCAGATCCCTGCATTCCAGACCTGGGACGATTGTTTTGACCTCCAGCAGACTGGAAAGATTGTTATCCTTTTCTCTGTTCAACACTCCAGAGGACCTCTGCATTTAGATGGTATTCAGACACCATTTACAAAATACAGACACACAAAAATCCTTTTTTTTATTTTTATTGAAAAATGAACACATTATTACATAATCACACATTCCAACAGCTTCTTTGTGGAAAATACCAACAGCAAGATAATGACACAGAATTGTTTGGCAAGTGAACATAAATTAAGCACCGGGTCTTTGCCAACTTTCCACTGCAAGCTCAGCACAAAGGAACAACTCAGTGAGGACTGGGGGCAAAAGAAGTGAAGCACTGTAAAACAAGCTTGTGCAAAGATCTTTTTTCTTTAAACATTAAAGATAATGCAAGAAAACGCACATGGATCATATTTGAACCAATACTGGCAAAAACAGAATGTAAAGAAAAAGATCATACTTAATATAAGCATGTTGTCCACTGTGCAAACTGCTGTGGGGTTTTTTTATGGCGATCTCAAAGAAGGCACATACATTTTTCTGTGTGATTGTGAACATCCGGGGGGCTTATGAGTGCAACGTAAAAATACAAAATTGTTCCATAGGAAGGTTTACTGTGTGTTTAAACAGCAAGCTCAGATATTCAGTACACAGATTGCTGATCGGAATGTGTTCATGAGGTAACAGTCATACCAGAAATACACATAGAAACACAGGATCCTGACTTATTTTCATAAAGCTAGCCAACACGATTGACAGCATTAACATTATAGCTCATCACGCATCTTGTCTCCTTTAGGTCTCACTACTCTGCCAATGTACAGGATGGAGTTGGTCTTATTGTCCCTCACCAGGAAAATAAAGGGGTGATCTACGTAGAAAAGTTTGGGGTTCCTCAGCTTTTCTGTGCCAAAGAGGCTGGTGTCGTACGGGTTTCCTTCAATGTCCAGCTCTAGGGCTGATGCGTGAAAGACGTTAGAAAGGTAGAGGTCCTTCTTTCCAGAGATTTTGGACAGGTCAGCCTTGGCTTTGTCTACAGCCTCGGTCAGGCCCAGCTCAGCCAGATGTTTCTGGAAAAGACAAAAAATAAAAACAGTGTTGTTTAAGGGGTTGTTGGTAGATATTTTAGCTATCTTTTGACTTGTGATACCAATGAAATTGCTACCACATACTGTACCTGCAGATTGTGGCTGACTTCCACAGAGATTTTGGGGAGGGAGATAGCCACGGCTCTGTTCTCCAGCTTGCTGAGCCAAGTGTCCACCTGCTTCCTGGTCAGGAGTTTCTCCAGGCGATCCAGGGGTTCCAGATGGAAGGGCATGATGAGGAACATTGAAGCCTGCTTCTGACCCAGAGGCATGTTCAGCACATAGACATTGTTCGCTGTGTCCTCGTAAAAGTCATACAGACCTGTAAGCACAGTTAAGAGAAATGAGATCTCTCATCATGCTTGCATTCTTGTTGAGTCAGTTTTTAAGAAAAAATAATTTAAGATCAGACATAAAGGTGATGGAGGAACGCACCTGTACGATGCATCATGGGAACTCCAACAGTGAACGAGCGGGTAACCAGGAAGCCACGATTGTCCACCATTTTCTCATGGAATTTCTCATCCCAGTGAGCTGCGGGACAAAATATGGTAGTCTAGGTTACACATATGTACATTCCTTTGACATCTCCTTTTGTGTCAGTTATGAGCAGGAATAGCAAGGCTTGGGATAAAGGAGTACTCACGCTTGAAGAACATGGCATTCACAATCATGGCTCCATCTGGGTTCTGCACATCTTTAGTGACCTCAGGCAGCTTGCCATCTGTTGACTTGGCTGCCCACTCGTTGATGGAGTTCACTGCACTCCTCTTGTCCCTGAAGTTTATTTTTGAGTGGTCATAGTTGTAGTGCTTCTTGCTGTTTTTCACAAAATCGTCGGCAAAGTTGACAGAGCTGGGGCCGTAGAGGCGGTTGTTGATCTTCCAGGTAGTGTTGCGTGTCTTGGCATCACTTACCTGGGAAGAAGCAATACATAAACTGTGAAAAATATGCAAAACTGTGAAAGTACTGAGGGACTGTTTTGAGGCTGGGTCTTCATGCGGTGCCAGAATCAAATTAATAAGGATGTCAGGTTAATAAACCTTTGACACAACCTTTGCTGGAATATAAGATCTTTGTAATAAGCTGCCGTCATACAGTATATTGTGTAGTGCTGTGCCTACCTCAGAGATCAGCTCAGAGAGCCCTGCATGCAGATGTTCATCCTTCAGTTTGTCAGCACTAAGGACAGTTTTGACCTGAGAGGCAGTAGTGGCTTTGCCACCGAGAGCCACTATCCCCAGAGAGGAGGCCACCACCAGAGGAGAGATGATGATGTTCTCTGTGTTTTTCTCTTTCGCCATGTTGTGATAGAGGCTGAATAAAAATTGGAAAAATAATCATTTGAGTTGTTTTGTTCCACAGAGGAACAAGTTGATTAGTCATAAAAGCTATACAGTAAATTAAAACCAAATGCAAAAAAAGCTTAATAGAAAAGTACAAAAATCACAGTAAAATATTGCATTTCAAAACTGCACCAGTGCACAATATATACATGTTGAAAATCAGTAACGTACCTGAAGGCCAGGTTGGCGCTGTTGTCTGCCAGAGAGGTGGCATGGCTGCTCAGCTTCTTGTCCTCTGCAGAAGCTACGAGGGCTAGCAGACAAAGAGCTACAACGTTAATCATCCACATCCTGTCTTTCTCCAAAAGCAGCTGTAGACGCCTGTGAAAAGGGGGAGAAAAGGAAAACATAGGGTTAACATTACTAACCCGGGTACATTTTGTAAAAATCAAAAATAACACATTTATTGAGTTTGGCATGGATGGCACATGTCAGAATATCTCCGCAGAGTGAGTTTGTGGAATTAATAAATATTCAGAACTATATTAATTAATTAAAGTTTAACAAAAGAAAAAGAGGATTGCCAGGTCACAGCTTGGGATATGAAGCTGCAGAGGTGGGGCGGGATTGGCTCAGCCCACACAGAAGCATAGGAATGCATCCAGTTTAAGGCAGACATGTTTCTCGCCACGTCAGCAGTAACTTTTGACTCAAGGTTGTAATATGAAACCTCTCTTCTCTACGTGTATTGTAATTGAGGCAAACTATTGTATATCTGAACATTAAAAATGTATTCTTTTTGAGCCAGTAGAAGTAAGGATCAGAAATCACTGGGTTGACAAGCTGTACACTTTGATTTGTACTCTGTAGCAGCACTCTGAGCCATCTTTTGTCCCAGAGAAGGGCGTGTGCCTGCTGTGGACTATATCTGACTCATCCCAACACTTATTCAATCAAATGCCAAATCAGTAGCCTAAAGCTGTTATTATTGGTATTGTTAAACACATTCCCTTGCAGAGATATACTGTCTGTATATCTATGGATTGCATATTACTAATACTGAAGAGATTACTTTGGCATCATGTTCGGATACCTTGAGATGTTTTGATGTCTGCGATTTTCATTCTGAAAGACAAGAGGTGTATGTAGTAATCTCCAGAGCAGGCAGTGAAACATTATCCAGGCTCTGATGGAGACTACCTCCCTACCTCCAAATTTTCAACCTTTAGACTCAGAACATTTAGGATGACTTTATTATACTACTCATACTCATTACTCATTTACAGCCACATAAAAGATAAATGGTTTTCACTGGCTGTGTCTGAAAAATAACTTTCATCCAATCATCTGCGCCACGGTCGCAGAACACTAACTTCTGGAGAATAGATTTGAACCTCTCATCACCAAAAAGTGATAGACTAGGGTTAAACAAAAACAAACAAAAAAAGCCAGAATGAAGGCATGTACACTACTTCCCTTCAATGAAATTCATTGTACTGAATGCACTTTAAAAGACTGCATATCACTAACAAAGCTAAGGATAAACAATAAGCTGCATGAAAACTTTAAACTCTCCCAGTGACTCATTCTTTTTCTCTATGAAATACGTTGGTCAAACAACAAGAGAAAAAGCTGGGTAAAGTGGAAAAATGCTGCACTGTAACTTTAAAAACTTAAACAAATCCACCTATTCACCCTCTGCATTCCTTCCTGAAAACAAAGCTTTATCTCTGGTTATCTTCAAGCCCTTACCTGGCACAGATTTGCAGGGTTTCTCCTCAGAGTTGTGTCGTGTCGATAGTGTAACTGTAGTAAGTTCTCCTGCTCTTTATACCCGGAGAGAGAATTTTCTAGAAGTGGGAATGGGATATTTAAATAAGGGTGTCTGTGTTTTCCTCAGGAAGTTGGGAGCTGGGACGTCCCCCTTGAACAGCAGGCTGGAATGAGAGGAGTCGGGTGAGGGTAACTCCTCAGCACTGCTCAGGGGCCAGCTCAAAAACTTTCCCATAAGAGGCTGCAGACAGAAACTCAGAGGAAATCTGACTGCAGGTCAGCTGTGGCTGCTATATGTACAGAAATCCGTCCTAATGCTGCTTGCTGACTCAATCTTCAACACTGCTTTCATCACACAAAAAAGGTGAAAATTAAAGTCTGTTTTTATATAACCTGGATGAGAATACAGTGTGCAGCATATCAGCGCTGTTTTTGCAGTTGTTGCATTTTTTAGCCTTTTGGGGCATCACCCCTGTGCAATCTCAGCAGGCAAGATATCAGTGCATGAAAACAATTGTCCTCAGATGTCGTGCAGCAACGTCTTACAGCTAAAGTCATTATACTTATGTTTGCTTTTTAATGGAAATGTATACCACCTTAAAGGCAGTCATGCTTAACACAAGTTGCAAGATGTCCAACCCTACCCCCACTCCCACCCCCACACTGCCACGTCTGTCCAACTCAGCAACTGATTGCAGGGTAGCTGAAAAACGGGGGTGTTAGAGACAGAGAACCATCGTCAGAAAAAACCAGGACCTCCTTTGTTAATTTGTTCATGAACGTTTTAAGCAAAATATGCTATAAACACTTGTATAAACCTTTTCAGTCTTTACTGATAGTGCCGCCCACATTATGACATTAAAGGTGATAAATGTTAGTCATAACTCTTTTTCTATATAATCTTTTAAAAGAATTTACTGTAAAACAACTGAGCCTCTACAATACATATAGCTCATAATACAGATTGAAACAGAAACTATTTTACAACTACAGGAATTCTCTCAGTCTCTTAATCCCCCGACTTCTTCTCTTTTGCCCCTCTTTGCAAATTGTCCTGACATGCCAAATGTGATAGGATGGGGGAGGCCTCTAGAAGGTTCTTTGAACATTTGAGGGGAAAAAAGTCTCCAAATCGTAACTCCAAAGTCAAGCCCTGGTCACTAGGATCTTACAGAATTTTTAAAAATCTGATTTCATATGACTCATGCTGGGGACAGTGAGCTCATCTACTAAAATTTGACAGTGTTAGATTTGACACAGGAGTGCATTGTCAGAGGGTGTTTGTCATTCTGACAAAGTCCCAGGAGCCACAGTTTACACTGAAATTCCTCTGTATGTGCAGAGTGAGGGCAGTTTGTGGGCCACGCAGGTCTGGTTAAATATTTTTAATCCACTTGGAAAAAAAAAAGTCAATTCGTTGGCCACATAGTATGGTGATGATGGCATAGACACTAAACAATGGTAAGATAAGGAAGGTCACGAGAAACATTTAAATTGTATATTTGTTCAACTGAAGAAACATGAACTTTGTAAATGTATATAAGCTAAACAGTACATAAACATAAAATGTATGATTATGAGACTGATTGTCATATGTGCTTCTGCAAGAATAGTGCATTTTTGCTGAAGGAAGAATAAAATGTTCATTTTACTCAGCAACTAAACATTAGAAGTTTGTCAGAGATCGAAGTAAGTAAAATCAGGAACAAGGCACATGTCTGTCACGTTTCCCATTAGAGCAGCAGACCTCAGAGGGAGGAGCAGCCTTACATAACTACAGCAATGAAATCCTATTTGAGGACAAGAGCCCATTCAACATCTGGACGTCATTACACTTACCTCAGCACCAGGCTTGGTCAGTTGTGCCTCTCTTAGTGTTGCTAAAAGAGAACTGACCAATAAGGCTTCTGCTTTCTTGCCAGTCTATATAATTAAATGATAGAAGAGATTTATTTTATTTTTACAGTTTTACAAACAGGATAATCAATGAATGAATTAGAATTATGGACTGGGGAAATGGCAGATAATCATTATTATTTTTAAGTCTTTGCTATTTCTCATGTAACATTCCTTAAAGAACGTAAAACAGCCGACTCAAAATTCAAACTATTGTTCATGTAACTATTTGTTACTTAAATTTGCTGCTGTATATGGGTTGTGAACAAACACAGGAGCTCAGGCACTTTCCTGTCATACCATCTGCGTTAGCTCTTCAAACACAAAGGGAGGATTGACACAGGATGTTGACAGGCTATTGCAACTATTCAGGGGATTTCTAAACACATCTCTTCCTGTTTATGTCTTTCATAGGTATCAGTGTTAGATTTCCTCTCTAATGTACTGTCCAGATGGGCCACAACTGATTACATATAAAGATTCTCCCCAAGTGCATCAAAGACAGTATCCTCTTAAAATACAACATGTTTTTACTTTGATAAAAGTAAAATCATCATCATTGGGAAAGTGTGTCTAAAGTTTTGATTGGCAATGTAATTCAAAGTTTCCAAAAACACAGGTTACTAAAAGAACTAATAGTTTTATCTTATATATGATATATTGTATACTTATCTCCACTGGTTATGACCATGCTATTCTACATAGGCTGCTACAGCCATGAATCCACACTAAGGAAAAGTCCAACACAAAGACTCTGCTAACGGAAGTCAAGCACAGCTGCCAAGAAGACCATGACGCAAGACCGGAAAAATGTTTCAGCTCTGCTTCATGATGTAACTTTTTGAGTTCAGTGAGTTGCTCGGTTATATACAGTTTTTTATTTATCTATGTGCATTGTCAGTTTAAACCAGACTCACATTGGCTTTAATAGGGGACCAATAAATCAGAGACCTATTAGGGTGCAATGTTTCTGTTTATGAATTATTTACTTGCTGTAACTTTTGAAGACATGAACTATGTAGTTACTGCACTGCTGCTTTATGGGGAGCATTTTCTTAATAATCACCACTAGCCTCAAAACAGTCCAGTTACTTGTCCCTGTCCATTCAGTAGGTTTACAGTTCAAGGGATTTACAACCATGCTACTGGCTACTGTAGTTTTGGTCATTTAAAAAAAAAAAGGTTATGTAACTCCAACATTTGAAACCAAGCTGATTTAAAATGTATTTTATATGGTATTGTATACTGTACCATCAGGGCAGAGCAGGGCTTTGCGAGGTTCCCCAGCATGCCCTGCTCGGGCAGAGGCTTTTCATGTTCTGTTATGGTGGTGGGACCAGTTAGCTGGGGCAGAGCACCATGACTTAGGGGTCTGATAAATAAATAGCATGTACGTAAATAGCATGTTGATAATAAAAGGCAGCGCTGTGGGGTTGTGCAGTGTATAGGGCACACAGTTGCACACAAAAAAGGCAAATTCTGTCTCTGGTTTGCTTCTTCATTCAGCCTATGTGACAATATCAAATTAATGAATTTTTCTTTTTTGAAACTTTTTTGACAAAAAGATTAGGCTGTCCATACTGTCAAAAACCTTTTTCAAACAAAAGAACAAATGATGGTTAAATAATAATAAGAAGAACAATAACATTCTTGCACATGAGATTTGGAATTGTAATGAGACATTACGTGGTTAAATAAAGGAAACAGAAATCTATAAATGAATAGTAATAATAATGTCATTTGCAGATCATTTCTCATTTGTTTTACTTTTGCTAAAAAAAAACTTTTATTTTGGATTTAACCCGATGATGACAAAGCATCTCCACTCAGTTGTACCTTTTTAATGGTTTTGCAATAGTCAGAACAACGCCCCTTGGTGGGAAATGTTTGAAAGCTTTCTTCAAAGCTACCAAAGTACTGTATTCTTTAGAGTAAAATCTTAACTAGAATTTAGTTCAAGTTTGTATTCTCTGTAGAAATTATTTGAAATTAAACTGATGTTTTCAGGCTTCATTTAAAATACAGATATGGTAGTTCTTATCTTTAACTGTAAATTTTGCTACAGTTGATACATGAGAAATTCTAATTCTACACCTAAACCAAATGCATCAATTACCTCTTGGGACGCCCAAGATTTTGGATATAAATGCTGACTGTGTACATTATTAGAAGAGGCACTAGCTTCAAACTGTGACAATACTGTGATTACAGATAGACTACTGTACCAGTTACTGCATTGTAGTGTAGGCTATCAGTCACTAGATGGTGTAAATAGCAACCAAATAAATTAATGTCACTTTGACAAGGAAAAAGATAAGTTCACAACAAGCATCCTTGATTTGTGAGAACAAACATATAAAAATTACATGGTTGCATGCATAGCCCGCATCTCAAAGACATTTTCAGAAAAGTGCCGTTCTGATGGTAGTGAATAAGAGGAGCTCTAAAGACAGCTACTGCCTTCTGCTTTCACTGATCATAGATACATTTTTTTCTGGTTTCATAATTTCATCATGACAAAATGAAAGGAAATTGAAAACCAGAAACCTAAATATTCAAGTTCTCAAATCTAATTCCTGGCAAGAAGAAGCACAGTATTCACTGTCATCTTCTACCTGTGGAATGGAAAGCAGTATTACACAAAGTCAGTGATGTTTCAGTTCATGTCAGGAGTTGATGTGAAGCCTCTGAACAGATTGTTACCCACTGTGAAGTCAGACCAAGCTGCTGTATTGGCATTTAGACAATATAGCCTGATTCTACACCTTGGTGTTTTCATGATTGCCCCTTCTCCCTGATCTAGTTAAATCCTGTCTCCTTTCACACAGTATCAGTCACAGACTCTTCCATTACATAACAGCATAACCTGCCGGTGGATGCTGGTTGGCATTTAAAAATGGGTTCAAAACAAAGCTCTGCAGCCGGAGCTGCTAAATAATGCCAACCTGTGGAGAGAAGAGCAGGGAAACCTGGGTCAGCCACATCAAACAGGAATATGCCACAGGAAATCATCCTGAGAGGAACATTTCCCTTTGCCTCCCCACCGGTAGATGCATGTGGAGAGACAACGTCAAAGTGTGTGTATGTGTGTGTGTGTGTGTGTGTGTGCCTCACTGTAGATACCAGAGACCCGAGACCTCCTGACCACCTGCTATTGATGACTGAAGTCTGAATTGGTGATTGAAGTCTGAATAAGTTTCACTGTTTTCTGGTACAGTAAATACTGGGATTTGTTTCTTTGGTGTTTCCTATACAATACATAATAACCTCATGACACAAGGAGGACACAAGGACAACAGAAACTTATGAAATAAACATTAAACTCAGCATATCACTTTGTGCATAATAAATGTACTCTAATTTGTTCACTGTTGTGTGTAAACGGTGGGCCAAGGATTCATGCTACTAGGTTTCCCACCTTTTAATTAATAATCTCCCCAGGAAAATCAAACTTGAGTTGCTGTAATTAATCCACATTTGCCACAACAAAAAACAAAAATCTATTGCAAAAAAAATATATTTTGCTTTGTTAATTTCCTGGAAATTCTTCACCAACATTTAACATCATCCACCGGCAATGTGGCACCATCAGTGTTGCTTTAAGAGGACAAATAAGAATGTGTACTAAATGTGCCACAGTGTGTGTCAACTGGTCGATTAGGTTAGGAGGCAGTGCTGACATTACACACTGTCTCTGATTATACTTGCATATGATGTCCTTGTGACAAAAATCAATAAATACATTTGGTTTAATGAGTCATCTGGCATGTGTCAGCATGATAGAACATGACAACGACTGAACCTATAAAACACACAGCATACACAAGGGGCATAGACCCCTTTGGTGGTTTGTTTGCTGATGCAATTATATCCAATATGTAAAACAGACCTTACAACTTGTGACAAATATCGCATAAGATAAGAATATTAAAACCTGGCATATGAATAAACACTTAGACACAATAAAGGCAAGTCTTAATTTAGATACAATAAAAAGATAAAAATGCAGGGACAAACAATATGTTTAATTCAAATAAGATAGCTATGATAGAAATAACCAAACAAACTAGCTCACATGACTGTTTATGACCTTTACCCTCTATCAAGTGGTAACAATCAAGGCCATTTTGTTCAATATTTCTGGATATCAGTAAAGCGCATTAAGGTGTGCTTACAGTTGCGTTCATGTCACATCAGATTTTCCGATTTCTAACCAACTAACAAAGGGAGAAATAAAATTATTTGGCGTGGATTTTCTTCAGTACACGTTGCTAACAGTGACACAGAACAATGGCAAGCAATTCTGAAACCCCACAAATGTCTTTCTATTCATTTTACTTTTGGAAATCCAGTATCTTGACATAGCGTGTTACGGATTAAAGGTGTAGGCTAGCAAAGGTGCAGCAATCCAACCAACGATGTGCCTTGAACGCGCACACCGGGAGTGAAATGAGCGTAAAGGAGGGCGGGAGATAAAAAAAAAAAAAAGAGCGACCCTTCCTCCTCCCACTATTCATTACATCGTGTTAGTCAGCCGGTGTGTGTAGGTTTACTCACACAGAGTCGAGGAGACACGCTTTACTTACAGAACGGACCAAAAACCTACCGAAAACATGGGACGGGACATCTTTTAGCGAGAGCGAGACGGTCCGAACTAACTCGGCTCTTTTCTTCGGTGGTTTTCGGTGTAAAACTTCGCCTCTGTCAGCGTTTACCGGCGTGCTTCGCCGGGGGAAAAGAAACGAAAAGCATTACATTTACAGTGGACGTGAAGGCTAGCTCTGAAATAAAAAGTGGTAACAGCCCTCGAGACAGGTGAGTAACGGTGCTCCTCACGTTTACCCGTAACGTTAGGTGGATTCAATGAGAGCTTTTGGGACAGTTTTTCCCCTAAACATTTTGCAATTGTATGCCTCATTGTAATGCGTTTTAAAAGTGACTTTTGACCACGTTAACTAGTGCAGATTGAATGTATATTGTATAATGCAAGTAAAGCTTGCAGAAGCTGAATGTGGACTCCATTTGTCTAAAGAAGGGGAGCACTCTTGCCACTTACTTGCATAATTCATGACACCATTATTATTTTTTTGTTTGTTTCAAGATGAATGCCATTTAGATGTTCCTGGCGTGTTAGTATACCTAGAGCAGATTTCAGTGTAAGGATTATGGTTGGCATTCATGTTATGTTACACATTACATGTGTATTCTGGTAAAATTATAGGTGTTTAATCATCTTAAACCTTTTGGAGAACACCCATTTGGTCCAGTTACCGTTAACGTTACGTTACGTCCTTCTTTGCTGTTTTAACACTTACCCATCTGTCACTATTACACCTCCACTAAAAGCAGCTCACACTTACTTGTTTTTGTTCAGAGCTTCAGTTTACAAATGGCATTTATTTGCATCCCAAAGGCATGTATATACTGTATGACTTTCAAAAGGGTTTGGAACCAATTTAGTCAGAGTATCAGTAGATGTATGACTCAGGCCAATTTGAGATTTAAGGACCTCCTTTTTATTGCTGTTTATTTACAACATCTATAAATGGATTGAAAGGCTTTGGAGTGGGGTGTGCTGATGAAGACTGTTCTTGAACCTTTGGGCTTCTACAGTACTGGACTGTATATGCTTGTGTAGGTGGGGCTCATGTCCATAGGGCAGAGAGCACTAGGACAATGTTTTCAGGTTATGGCATAGAAACTTGTAGTGTATGACACAATAGGAAAATAAACATTAGTCTTAATATTAAACCACTTGGGTTGTGGCTGACAAACCATGAGAAAATGGAAAAATGTGGGAAAAAAGTAACATTTACGTTTCTATACTTTTTAATTTGCTTGGATCATTCTTGATTTAGAATTGTTAGACTAAGTGAAGACTAGAGATGGATGTAATGGGTCAGAACAGGGAGGAATGTGGCGTGCAGATACACCTCTCCACTAAATGTACGTATGTTAGAATTTTTAGTCATTATTTACAGCTTTTAAACAATTTCTTTAGCTAGTGTTCAAGTTTCATGCATATTGCTGTTGGCTGGAAAGTACAGTAGATATGCTGCTGATCAGATACTGTAGTACTGAAGCGCTGCACTGCACAGACTAGCTGAATGTCCATTTGAGATTGGTATTGATTCGGTGTCCTGGCCATTCTGCTTTGCCCTGCTTATGTAACTGCCTCTATGTACTTATGTTTATGTCCTGTGTCCTTAAATAGCAGCTTCTAACAAGAGAAACAACACTCATCCTACAATAGAAGTGTAACCCTGTAAGATGTTTGCTAGCTTCATGTGCCAGGAGAAACACACCTGATGATCTGTTGAAACTAGAGATGAGATGATGCACAATATTGGATATTTTAATACTATTAAGAAATCTTGAGTGATATATGACTGGGAAAAAGTCTTGTTTGAAAGTGACAAAATGCAAAACGATGCAGGTGCATTTTGAAATGTTTTAACTAATCGGTTTGTAATAAATGTCTCTCCTGTTCTACTAGTATTAATTATCACATGCATTAAAAAGATGACAATGTGCAAGCACTGTAAAAAGCTTAGCTATAAATCCAACTGACTGGCTTCTCTTCTGTATGATTTCACGAGTCACTTCAGACCTTATAACCGTGCATGAGCTTCTAACTGAAGCTGTGTGCGACATTCGACTCTAGTAGAGAAGTTTACAGTCAATGATGTGCAGTTACATAATGAAGTCTTGCTTCTGAATGTAGTCCACAACAGACTGAACTTGGGTGATTCAATAACATAGTGAAAATCTCTTGTGTTTTTGCAAGACCAGGTGACAAGTCACCTCTTTATCTACATGTGATAACACACTTAGTCAGCGTCAGGCAGTTCGCAGCTTTCAATCTATTAAAGACCACAGTGGCTGAGCTTAAGCTGTTCATATTTTACGCATATGTTTGTTCTGTAACTGATAATTTCATGTACAGTGACTGAATGATCCTGCACACTGTACTACAGAATTGTGAGCCAAACAAATAAGAGCAATCTCAGATGTACAAACACAACTGGTCCAGACAGTTGTGTATTTGCAGTTCCAGACAGCAAATGGTATAATTTCCGCAATGTTTTGAGAAGGTCAGCGTTCTGCTGTTCCCGAACAACTCTCCTCCATATCAGACATAGTACTTTGTTTGCAGTGTAGCTGAACCTGTCACTGTGGACAGGTTCACTGGTCAGCAGCACATGAGATCTGTGTGAGGTCAGAAAATTTTGAACATTTTTACTTCCCTGCCTCACCTGCAGGTAAAATCTTCTGAGCCAATTGTTTAATAAATGAACTCCCACATGTACTCAGAAGGCTTTCTTTGCTAGTTTGCAATCTGAGCTCCCTTCAAAGCCAAATACTCAGACAAACTGGGAGGTGCATGGTTATTTTGTTGAAGCTGAGGCTCCCTTTTGAGAAAAGGTAACAATGGCTCCTTGACTGGATAGCAAGTCTTCTTGTTTTCTTTTCATTCTTGTTAATTCCAGATATTTGAGATCCACTACCTCAGAGTTCAGATGTTCACTTTAGTAGCTATGAAGGAAGAAAATTGGAATCGGCAGGGCAGACTTAAAAAAAAAAAAAAAAAAAAAAAAAAAGATAATAATCTACCAAGAATATTGCAATTGGTGCATGTCTGTAAAATGAGTGACCCTTTCTGTGGCTTTATCTTCTGTCCATATCTGCATATCATTCTATTCATTTGTTACTAGGAACACTTGTCTTTTGTGTAATAAGCTTTAATATAATTAAAGAAGCTAAAAGTTAACATAAGGAGAGAGCTGAGTTTCTCTCTGAGAAAGCCAAATTCACCACAGTGGCACCTGCTCTTCTGGCCCTGCTTTTTGGGCTCAGACAGCAAAATCACAATGGACAGAACTCGATGTAATGTCAACATGCAGATGGTGGCGAAGAGCCCTCATGCAGACTTACAGATGGCACCTTGATGAAATGTTGCAGTCCACCCACTTTTTTCTTTTTCTCTTGGCCGTAGAAGACGGTCATACAGGGGAGGCTAGATTTAATGGAGTTGTCCATTTGCCCACACAGTGTAACAACGATTCGTGCAGTGTCTCTGCATGCCACAGATGACTTTGTCAGTTGTTTGCTTTCCAGCCCACAGTATCAGCACTACAGTATTACCTATGATTAGGAGCTAACCCCAGAATGCTTTCTCTCAGTCCTCTGTTATAAACAGGCCAAGACAAGTACAGACAGAGCTCATTCTGCCATTGCTTTTATTTTTCTTGACACCTCACAGTGGACAGCACTTAATATTGTGTGATTAGCAAATGGATTGTGGAAGCACTACCCCAGATTAAGTTATGGAAAAAAAGGAGGTCCAAAATTTTCTGCCAGGAAGCACTTTTGTCTTGAGCCCTGAAGTGCCAAAGAATGCTGTCACCAATTTCACTGATTACTACAGCTTTGCTCCTCTAAGAACTAATCACTGAAATCTCTTAAATGCTCTCTGCTTCCGTCATACTACACACATTTACTGTAGTAAACATTTGAGTGATTGTGATTTGCAGAACGGTGATTCTGATATTCAAAGCAGCAGGGTGCAGACGATTGAAGTGTCTTTTATTATCAAAGCATTAATAATCAGCAAGAAAGAATGTCATCTAAAAGAAAATGAGACTATAAAGCTGTTTTTAAAGAAATATCTTCTTAATATAAGGCTTTAATATATGGAGTCAGAACATTAGCAGCTTTAAACCTTGGTACTGAAAAATAAAACTTGCTTTGAACACAAAGCTGTAACTGAAAAGAGAAAACAGAATTTAAAAATTGTACTGAGTTAAACAGCCACTGAAACATATTTAGAATGAAATATGTTTTGGCATAAACAGTGGCAGAGTAGGGCTTTGAGGGGCGAAGCTAAGAAGAGCATAACTGTGGTCTGTTTCCCTTTAGCGGTATCATTACACTCAGTGTTAAAACTCACTTTTAACTAACATGCTGGTGTGGCAGAGGTCTGCTGGCGCAAGTGCTAATGTTAGCTGTAGCTAACATCAGCAGTGCACAGCTGCTTCTCATAGACTCAGTTGGATTTCAGGGCTTTCTGCTACACGCTAGTTTTAGAATGACACCATGTGGAAGTAATGGATTTTTGATCTGCCTAGAGTGGTAAAATGGCAGTTAGTGAGCTTGAAGGTTTATATGGGCATCAGGGACACTGACGATCAGCTTCCTGTGTTAGTTCTGTTTAGCTCTTTTTTATCTTGGCATTCTTCTCAGTGGGAGTGCTTCCCTTCACTTTCTCTCCAGATGTCTGAAATCACAGGCTGTACCAAAGTTGATGAGAAAATGTTGTGCAAATGTATATTATGCAGACAAGAGTCGGTGTCATCCAGTCTCTTAAGGTGATAATTATTCAAGCCCATGCACCATCAGCTGCCTAAACGGTGGCACGGGTGATCAGAGGTTAGCACAGTCTCCACACAGCAGGAAAGTGCTAGTTTCAAACCGCCAAAGGGTGACTGGGGCTTTTCTTAGTGACGTTTTCTTTTCTCCATTCCTCATACTCCAAAATGAATACACTAGGCATTAAGAATACTCCTGCCTTTGCACTTGATACATAGTAGACAGGCTCTAATAGATGTTGCTCAGAATATGGATTCCTGTTTTAATGGTGCATTGTGTGACACCTCCAGTGAAAAGCGCTATCTAAAATACTGATCAAGCCTTTCATGAACAAGTCCATAACACTCATAATATTGCTTTATTGGTTACTGTATCAAGCTGTTACCCTTCTATCTGATCACCTTTGCTCAGAAACCAAACTCTCTTCAGAAGGAGGCTGCATACTA